CATGTTTACTACTCAGATAATAATGCATATATCCACTTTAGAATTTATATTTAAATTAGTTCTTACAATGCTAATACATTTGCATACTCAATTGTAAATTTGTAAACAAAAAGTTCACAAATCAGCTAATAATGCTTGTATCCACGGCAGAATTTGTACTTATATTAGTTTTTACACGGCTTATACATTTGCATACTCAATTGTAAATGTGTAAACAAAAAGTTCACAATGCAGCTAATAATGCCTGAATCCATTTCAGAATTTATATTTATATTAGTTTTTACACGTCTAATACATTTGCATACTCAATTGTAAATTTGTAAACAAAAAGTTTACTACTCAGATAATAATGCATATATCCACTTTAGAATTTATATTTAAATTAGTTCTTACAATGCTAATACATTTGCATACTCAATTGTAAATTTGTAAACAAAAAGTTCACAAATCAGCTAATAATGCTTGTATCCACGGCAGAATTTGTACTTATATTAGTTTTTACACGGCTTATACATTTGCATCCTCAATTGTAAATGTGTAAACAAAAAGTTCACAACGCAGCTAATAATGCCTGAATCCACTTCAGAATTTATATTTATATTAGTTTTTACACGTCTAATACATTTGCATACTCAGCTAAAAATGTCTGTATCCACTTCAGAATTAGTATTTATAATAGTTTTTACACGGCTAATACATTTGCATACTCAATTGTAAATTTGAAAACAAAAAGTTCACAACTCAGCTAATAATGCCTGAATCCACTTCAGAATTTGTATTTATATAAGTGTTTACACGGCTAATACATTTGCATACTCAATTGTAAATTTGTAAACAAAAAGTTCACAGCTCAGATAATAATGCATATATCCACTTTAGAATTTATATTTATATTAGTTTTTACACGTCTAATACATTTGCATACTCAGTTGTAAATTTGTAAACAAAATGTTTACAACTCAGATAATAATGCATATATCCACTTTAGAATTTATATTTAAATTAGTTCTTACAATGCTAATACATTTGCATACTCAATTGCAAATTTGTAAACAAAAAGCTCACAACTCAGCTAATAATGGATGTATCCACGGCAGAATTTGTACTTATATTTGTTTTTACACGGCTTATACATTTGCATACTCAATTGTAAATTGTAAACAAAAAGTTCACAACGCAGCTAATAATGCCTGACTCCACTTCAGAATTTATATTTATATTAGTTTTTACACGTCTAATACATTTGCATACTCAATTGTAAATTTGTAAACAAAAAGTTCACAACTCAGATAATAATGCATATATCCACTTTAGAATTTATATTTAAATTGGTTCTTACAATGCTAATATATTTGCATACTCAATTGTATATTTGTAAACAAAAAGTTCACAACTCCGCTAATAATGCATGTATCCACGGCAGATTTTGTACTTATATTAGTTTTTAGAATGCTAATACATTTGCATCCTCAATTGTAAATTTGTAAACAAAAAGTTCACAACTCAGGTAATAATGCCTGAATCCACTTCAGAATTTATATTTATATTAGTTTTTACACGTCTAATACATTTGCATACTCAGCTAATAATGTCTGTATCCACTTCAGAATTAGTATTTATAATAGTTTTTACAGGGCTAATACATTTGCATACTCAATTGTAAATTTGAAAACAAAAAGTTCACAACTCAGCTAATAATGCATGTACCCACGGCAGCATTTATATTTAAATTAGTTCTTACAATGCTAATACATTTGCATACTCAATTGTAAATTTGTAAACAAAAAGTTCACAACTCAGCTAATAATGCATGTATCATCGGCAGAATTTGTACTTAGTTTAGTTTTTACGCGGCTTATACATTTGCATACTCAATTGTAAATTTGAAAACAAAAAAATCACAACTCAGCTAATAATGCCTGAATCCACTTCAGAATTTGTATTTATATTAGTTTTTACACGGCTAATACATTTGCATACTCAATTGTAAATTTGTAAACAAAAAGTTCACAGCTCAGATAATAATGCATTTATCCACTTTAGAATTTATATTTATATTACTTTTTACACGTCTAATACATTTGCATACTCAGTTGTAAATTTGTAAACAAAAAGTTTACTACTCAGATAATAATGCATATATCCACTTTAGAATTTATATTTAAATTAGTTCTTACAATGCTAATACATTTGCATACTCAATTGTAAATTTGTAAACAAAAAGTTCACAAATCAGCTAATAATGCTTGTATCCACGGCAGAATTTGTACTTATATTAGTTTTTACACGGCTTATACATTTGCATCCTCAATTGTAAATGTGTAAACAAAAAGTTCACAACGCAGCTAATAATGCCTGAATCCACTTCAGAATTTATATTTATATTAGTTTTTACACGTCTAATACATTTGCATACTCAGCTAATAATGTCTGTATCCACTTCAGAATTAGTATTTATAATAGTTTTTACACGGCTAATACATTTGCATACTCAATTGTAAATTTGAAAACAAAAAGTTCACAACTCAGCTAATAATGCCTGAATCCACTTCAGAATTTGTATTTATATAAGTTTTTACACGGCTAATACATTTGCATACTCAATTGTAAATTTGTAAACAAAAAGTTCACAGCTCAGATAATAATGCATTTATCCACTTTAGAATTTATATTTATATTAGTTTTTACACGTCTAATACATTTGCATACTCAGTTGTAAATTTGTAAACAAAATGTTTACAACTCAGATAATAATGCATATATCCACTTTAGAATTTATATTTAAATTAGTTCTTACAATGCTAATACATTTGCATACTCAATTGCAAATTTGTTAACAAAAAGTTTACAACTCAGCTAATAATGCATGTATCCACGGCAGAATTTGTACTTATATTAGTTTTTACACGGCTTATACATTTGCATACTCAATTGTAAATGTGTAAACAAAAAGTTCACAACGCAGCTAATAATGCCTGAATCCACTTCAGAATTTATATTTATATTAGTTTTTACACGTCTAATACATTTGCATACTCAGCTAATAATGTCTGTATCCACTTCAGAATTAGTATTTATAATAGTTTTTACACGGCTAATACATTTGCATACTCAATTGTAAATTTTAAAACAAAAAGTTCACAACTCCGCTTATAATGCATGTATCCACGGCAGAATTTGTACTTTTATTAGTTTTTAGAAGGCTAATACATTTGCATACTCTATTGTAAATTTCTAAACAAAAAGTTCACAACTCAGCTAATAATGCCTGAATCCACTTCAGAATTTGAATTTATATTAGTTTTTACACGGCTAATACATTTGCATACTCAATTGTAAATTTGTAAACAAAAAGTTCACAGCTCAGATAATAATGCATATATCCACTTAAGAATTTATATTTATATTAGTTTTTACACGTCTAATACATTTGCATACTCAATTGTAAATTTGTAAACAAAAAGTTCACAACTCAGCTAATAATGCATGTATCCACGGCAGAATTTGTACTTATATTAGTTTTTACACGGCTTATACATTTGCATACTCAATTTTAAATTTGAAAACAAAAAGTTCACAACTCAGCTAATAATGCCTGAATCCACTTCAGAATTTGTATTTATATTAGTTTTTACACGGCTAATACATTTGCATACTCAATTGTAAATTTGTAAACAAAAAGTTCACAGCTTAGATAATAATGCATATATCCATTTTAGAATTTATATTTATATTAGTTTTTACACGTCTAATACATTTGCATACTCAATTGTAAATTTGTAAACAAAAAGTTTACAACTTAGGTAATAATGCATATATCCACTTTAGAATTTGTATTTAAATTAGTTCTTACAATGCTAATACATTTGCATACTCAATTGTAAATTTGTAAACAAAAAGTTCACAACTCCGCTTACAATGCATGTATCCACGGCAGAATTTGTACTTTTATTAGTTTTTAGAAGGCTAATACATTTGCATACTCTATTGCAAATTTGTAAACAAAAAGTTCACAACTCAGCTAATAATGGATGTATCCACGGCAGAATTTGTACTTATATTAGTTTTTACACGGCTTATACATTTGCATACTCAATTGTAAATTGTAAACAAAAAGTTCACAACGCAGCTAATAATGCCTGAATCCACTTCAGAATTTATATTTATATTAGTTTTTACACGTCTAATACATTTGCATACTCAATTGTAAATTTGTAAACAAAAAGTTTACTACTCAGATAATAATGCATATTTCCACTTTAGAATTTATATTTAAATTAGTTCTTACAATGCTAATACATTTGCATACTCAATTGTAAATTTGTAAACAAAAAGTTCACAAATCAGCTAATAATGCTTGTATCCACGGCAGAATTTGTACTTATATTAGTTTTTACACGGCTTATACATTTGCATACTCAATTGTAAATGTGTAAACAAAAAGTTCACAATGCAGCTAATAATGCCTGAATCCATTTCAGAATTTATATTTATATTAGTTTTTACACGTCTAATACATTTGCATACTCAATTGTAAATTTGTAAACAAAAAGTTTACTACTCAGATAATAATGCATATATCCACTTTAGAATTTATATTTAAATTAGTTCTTACAATGCTAACACATTTGCATACTCAATTGTAAATTTGTAAACAAAAAGTTCACAAATCAGCTAATAATGCTTGTATCCACGGCAGAATTTGTACTTATATTAGTTTTTACACGGCTTATACATTTGCATACTCAATTGTAAATGTGTAAACAAAAAGTTCACAATGCAGCTAATAATGCCTGAATCCATTTCAGAATTTATATTTATATTAGTTTTTACACGTCTAATACATTTGCATACTCAATTGTAAATTTGTAAACAAAAAGTTTACTACTCAGATAATAATGCATATATCCACTTTAGAATTTATATTTAAATTAGTTCTTACAATGCTAATACATTTGCATACTCAATTGGAAGCAGCGCGCCGACGCAATTATAATCAAATGCAGCGCAGGAACATACGCAGACATGCTCAAGATTGTCAAACTGAGCCCTCTCTACAGGGACTCAAGGACAATGTGCAAGGATTGCGGAGGACAGCGAACGGTGGACTCCTCCTAAGAATGCAGAAAAACCTGGACCCATCCACGCAGCAGCTGCAAGCAGCCCTAAAGACTGCCATCTCCGGTAAAGCAGAGGTGGCGGTTATGCAGGAGACGGTCCAAGTGGAGATCCGCGACCTAGACGACATGACCAGCGCGGATGAGGTCACCATGGCCCTGTTTGCGGGAGAAGAGTGCGACGTACCACGAGACGCCTCACCCAGGATGAGAAAAGGGTTCGGCGGAACGCAAATAGCGACGGTCAACCTCAGACCCGAGCATGCGCGGAGGTTGCTCGAAAAGGGCAGAATCCGGATAGGATGGGTCGTATGCCGTATCCGAGAAAAAACTGAGCCAAAGCGATGCTACAAATGCATGGGCTTCGGACACACCTCGGCACGATGCCGAGCCTCCGACGCAACAGCTAAAGCCACACAGGAGTCATGCTTCAAATGTGGTGGCATGGGCCACAAGCACAATACGTGCCAAAACAATCCCAAGTGCATCCTATGCACCCGAGGAGGCAAGCACGCGAAGGAGGCAGAGCACGCTACAATAAGCAGGACCTGCCCAGAATACCAGAGAGCCGTCAAGTATATGCAGAATGGTTAAGTTTCTCCAGCTTAACCTAAACCACTGCAGAGCAGCCCAAGACCTACTGTCGCAGACGGCGATTGAGCAGAGAATCGACATCGCTATACTGAGTGAACCCTACAAGGCAAAACCAGAAGGAGTATGGCAGCAAAGCGCGGATGGCGGGTCTGCCATCTGGAGCTGTGGACAGCCTCCGGAACACCTATCGCAGAGAGCTTCGAGACCTGGCTACGCCAGGGCCAAGTGCCAGGCGACTACAATATACAGCTGCTACCTTCCGCCAAGTATGCACATAGATGCATTCAAGGATGTAATCCAGGAGATTGCCCAAGACGCTCGGGGACGATCCCCGGTAATAATTGCCGGGGACTTCAACGCATGGTCCACCACGTGGGGGAGCACGGCAACAACTCAGAGGGGAACCGCCTTACTAGATGCCCTGGCGACCCTGGATGTCTGCCTTCTCAACGACGGAGGCAAATGCACATACAGCAAGGCAGGCCGAGAATCAAGTATCGACCTAACCTTCGCCAGCCCGGAGCTCACTAGGAGCGTCTACTGGGAAGTCACTGACCTCCTCACCTACAGCGACCACGCAGCGATAGTGATAAAGACGAGTCACTCCCTGCCGAGCCTTCCGAATCGGCAACCTGCCTACAAAGTAGGCACTCTAAATGTCGAGGAACTCCTAGAAAACATGGATGGCAATACCATTTCTGGCGACGCAAACACTTGCGCAGACGAGGTATCTGCGAGGATCAAGACAGCTTGCGATGCGGCAATGGAGAGCTCGACTAGAGGACAAGGAAGGCGACCAGTCCCCTGGTGGAACCAAGAGATAGCCACAGCCAGGAAAGAGTGCATCTCTGCGAGGCGCAGGTGCCAACGAAGCCGTGGACGGCCCATGCAGGAGCTATTTGAGGCTCGCTACAGGGAAAGAAAAAAAGCCTTAAAGGTGGCCATTAGAGCAAGCAAGCGGGAGTGCTTCCAGCAGCTGTGCGACGAGGCGGACCAGGAACCTTTTGGATCTGCCTATAAGCTCGTCATGGGTAAGCTCAACTGACAGCCGACCCCAACAGCTCAGGAGCAGCTTGGAGCGATAATCTCCACCCTCTTCCCTGCACAGCCGCCCCTAATGCCACCCAGCATAACGGCGAGCGAAGCTATCACCATCAGCGAAGAGGAAGTCATGAGCGCGGTGGCCAGTAGCAATTTAGGCTTTTACGCGGCTTATACATTTGCATACTCAATTGTAAATTTGAAAACAAAAAAATCACAACTCAGCTAATAATGCCTGAATCCACTTCAGAATTTGTATTTATATTAGTTTTTACACGGCTAATACATTTGCATACTCAATTGTAAATTTGTAAACAAAAAGTTCACAGCTCAGATAATAATGCATATATCCACTTTAGAATTTATATTTATATTAGTTTTTACACGTCTAATACATTTGCATACTCAGTTGTAAATTTGTAAACAAAAAGTTTACTACTCAGATAATAATGCATATATCCACTTTAGAATTTATATTTAAATTAGTTCTTACAATGCTAATACATTTGCATACTCAATTGTAAATTTGTAAACAAAAAGTTCACAAATCAGCTATTAATGCTTGTATCCATGGCAGAATTTGTACTTATATTAGTTTTTACACGGCTTATACATTTGCATACTCAATTGTAAATGTGTAAACAAAAAGTTCACAACGCAGCTAATAATGCCTGAATCCACTTCAGAATTTATATTTATATTAGTTTTTACACGTCTAATACATTTGCATACTCAGCTAATAATGTCTGTATCCACTTCAGAATTAGTATTTATAATAGTTTTTACACGGCTAATACATTTGCATACTCAATTGTAAATTTGAAAACAAAAAGTTCACAACTCAGCTAATAATGCCTGAATCCACTTCAGAATTTGTATTTATATAAGTTTTTACACGGCTAATACATTTGCATACTCAATTGTAAATTTGTAAACAAAAAGTTCACAGCTCAGATAATAATGCATTTATCCACTTTAGAATTTATATTGATATTAGTTTTTACACGTCTTATACATTTGCATACTCAGTTGTAAATTTTTAAACAAAATGTTTACAACTCAGATAATAATGCATATATCCACTTTAGAATTTATATTTAAATTAGTTCTTACAATGCTAATACATTTGCATACTCCATTGCAAATTTGTTAACAAAAAAGTTTACAACTCAGCTAATAATGCATGTATCCACGGCAGAATTTGTACTTATATTAGTTTTTACACGGCTTATACATTTGCATACTCAATTGTAAATGTGTAAACAAAAAGTTCACAACGCAGCTAATAATGCCTGAATCCACTTCAGAATTTATATTTATATTAGTTTTTACACGTCTAATACATTTGCATACTCAGCTAATAATGTCTGTATCCACTTCAGAATTAGTATTTATAATAGTTTTTACACGGCTAATACATTTGCATACTCAATTGTAAATTTTAAAACAAAAAGTTCACAACTCCGCTTATAATGCATGTATCCACGACAGAATTTGTACTTTTATTAGTTTTTAGAAGGCTAATACATTTGCATACTCTATTGTAAATTTCTAAACAAAAAGTTCACAACTCAGCTAATAATGCATGTATCCACGGCAGAATTTGTACTTATATTAGTTTTTAGAATGCTAATACATTTGCATACTCAATTGTAAATTTGTAAACAAAAAGTTCACAACTCAGCTAATAATGCCTGAATCCACTTCAAAATTTGAATTTATATTAGTTTTTACACGGCTAATACATTTGCATACTCAATTGTAAATTTGTAAACAAAAAGTTCACAGCTCAGATAATAATGCATATATCCACTTAAGAATTTATATTTATATTAGTTTTTACACGTCTAATACATTTGCATACTCAATTGTAAATTTGTAAACAAAAAGTTTACAACTTAGCTAATAATGCCTGAATCCACTTCAGAATTTATATTTATATTAGTTTTTACACGTCTAATACATTTGCATACTCAATTGTAAATTTGTAAACAAAAAGTTCACATCTCAGCTAATAATGCATGTATCCACGGCAGAATTTATATTTAAATTTGTTCACGCCAGAAAGGCGCTTAATTTCGGGAGGCAGTGCGCTCTCTCTTTCTCTCCCTCTCCCTCCGGACTTCCAATCCAAAGCTCCTCCGCTTGCTCTCGCTCTTCTAGCGGATGCTTCGGCTCTGGCCGATCGTCGCATCGCTGAGCGGCCGCTCCCGCTCTCCTAGTTTTAATCTCCTATTTTGAACTCCCGCTTGTACATTTTTTAATTCCTATCTTGAAGCCAAATAAAGCGGACCAAGTCCACTCTGCATATATTGAAATTAACCACGCCCCCCCGGCCTACTACTTCATTTCGTTTGGTGGTGATTTTCTCTTTCGTGCGGTGATATTTCTTTGGTTTTCCACGACTGCGGCGCGGGAGTGTTTTCTAATAATTTTTGTGCTCATCCTACGGAACGGAACCAACAAGTTTCCCCCAGCCGAACATTTGGTCCTACAGAGCCGGATTTTGGATTCCGGATTTTTTCTGCAACTCCGCTTCACCAGCAGTTCTCGGCGTTTTCTGCTTCCAAGATAAGTACTCCGTATTCCGTCGCCCCCCCTCGCTGCCGAACTTTAGCAGTAGTCCGAACATTTAATTTCGGTCACTCTGCTGCAAGATTTATTTTCCGTGTCGACTCCAAGTGAGAGTTTTCCTGACAACGGCAGTTAAGGAATTTTCCATTATCGACAATTCGTAAAATTTTCAATCCGTCTCCGTTTTGAACGTCGCCATATTCTTTCCTTTGCACATATTTGCATTTATCCGTACATCAATGTACAAAACGCTTCCTACATAAGAATAAAAATTCATACATATGTACATACATATCGGCTTATTTCGTACAATAGAAAATAAAATTCCAATAATAAAAATTTAATAACAATCCAATACAGTCCGCTGCCTACGAATAGCTATCCAGTGCTATAATAAATCCATATATTTTATTTTATTTATTTTATATTATATTTTCTCCATATAAACATATATATATTACATATTATATTTTCTCCCCCATACAAAAACCATTACATACAACATTTAAAAAAAATATATAAAACAAGAAAATCAAAAATAATAATAAAAAAAGGAATAAAATATTGCAAAAAATTTGTAAACCAGTGTCCGTATTTTTTTGTGCATTACATTTTTGCGCATTGCATAGTTCCGCTGCCGCCGCGACATATAATTGTCTACTTACATACATACATATCCATACACAAGAGCTTTACATCGCCGGCAGCGTAACCCAACGAACATTGTGTTGGGAAAAAAGTGTCAGGTGTTCCAATCCCACCATTCCGACCTAATTATTTTTATTTATTTTTATTAATCATAAATACGGTTAAAGTTTTTGCACTCGATTAAATATCCGCAATCGTCAAAATTACGTAATCTACATCCTTCTTGCATTTATTTTATATACGAAAATAATAAAAAAAACCTCTGCATTTCCGTTCAGCAATTATTTATTTGGTCAAATAAATTTCAATTCTCGTCGCATCTGCTCCAATTAATATTGGGTCCACTACATATATTTTCGATTCTCGTCGCTTCTACTTCAAGTAAATTTTTTCCACTGTATTTACTTGCAATTCTGAGATTGAATTTTTCCACCATCTACCATCCGAATTCTACGGCATATTCTTGCAATCCATATTTGTTTCGATTTTACCGTCTCACATTGCTACTCCTTCGATTTAGTTGACGGTACTGGGAGCAAATAATTCTACCATTCGAATTCTACAGCATATTCTTGCGAACATACTTTCTTTTGAGAATTCTGCTCAATCCAGCAGCTTCATTCACCTAATTAGTTGGTCACTCGTGCCTACTCCCAAAGGAATATAAATATGTCAGAAGGACAAAAGTCAATTCCCCAAGACGCAAGTCAGAAGAGGGAGAGATCCAAAGCCAACGGCCCTCTAGATGTTGCTATGCTTGAGTTTATAGCAACTAGCAACCGTCTCATCCAATTTGAGAGCCAGATCTTTGCGGCATCCACTTCCAAGCCCAATTCATTCACATTAAAGATCCGTCTAGATCAGATCCAGTCCTTATGGGAAAAGGTTGAACGGGAGTATGAGACCGTTTCCAGAACAGCTCTTCACGAGGGAAGTAGCGGAAATCTTCCGCTACTTCAAAATAAATACGAACACTATTATGCGGTGTACGAAAGATGTGCTTCCAAGCTGAGCGAAGACATTGACCGTGTGTCCGTCTCCAATTCACAGGCAAGAGCAGCTCCGCCACCAGAGACATTCTCGAGGGGCTGCGATCTTCCGCCATGCAATACAGGAATCTTCGACGGAGATTATCTGCGCTGGCCCACATTTCGTGATCTGTTTACGGCCATGTACGTGAACAATTCCAACTTAACTCCAGTGGAAAAGCTTTTCCACTTAAACGCCAAAACTAGCGGCGAAGCTCACGCCATCGTTACGAAGTCTCCGCTAACTAATGATGGGTTTCAATCCGCGTGGTCAGCGCTTCACGATCGTTTCGAAAATAAACGCGCGTTAGTAAACAATCAACTTAAGAAATTATTTAACATGGAGTCCAGTGAACGCGAATCCCCGGCAGCCTTGAAGGATCTGCAAAATACAATCCAAAATTTTCTAACATCGCTGAGAATTTCCGGCCTTTCTACCGAGAATTGGGATTGCCTCCTTAGTAGTAGGGGAATCTAACATCCAGGCCAGTTTTATCTTAATTGCTAATTAGGGTCATTAATTAAATAGATAGGGGTGATCTGACCCCTGTCACCTTAAAAGGGTAGGGTAATAAAAATTGATTAGGGTGTGATTGAATGGATTGAGGACACGTGAGAAACGTATGCGGAAGCGCCCCGAACACGCACTCGATACGTGAGCGAGGGAGCGATAACGCACACGATACGTCTTCGAGTGCGTATGCGAGGGAGCGGGAGCGGGAGCGTTACCGCCCCGAAGACGCACTCGAAACGGCTTCGAGAGGGAGCGATAACGTTCGATCCGCGCGGGAGCGGGAACGTTACCGCCCCGAAGGCGCACTCGAAACGGCTCGAAACGAGGGAGCGATAGCGTTCGACCCGCACGCATTCGTTTCCCACAATCAAATCCCACACCAAAAG